GGGTTTAAGGCTTTGGGGTTTAAGGATTCCATCATTAGGGGGACCAATATAGACCCCACTATATGAGCCATAGTGTGAACTCCTTTAAAGGAGTTTTATAGTGGAGTATTATAGGGGTTGTTAAAGGGGATACTAGGAGCTTAGGCTATAGCTCATATGATGACCCATAGGAATCCTCATCATAGGGACTCCCAAAAAGGGACCCCTAATTTGTAGCAACCCCCACGCGGCAATTGTGTGGACATGGACAAAGTCTCGCATTCAAGATTCACAACAATGCTCTGTATGAAGCTACAGCAAGATTGGTCCGTGATATTGTCAATAGTCTTCGCTCCCTACAGGGTGTCACTTAGACAGAATGTGTACCCGCACCAGTAGGGCCTGGCTTCACACTATGGCGCCTGGACATGTCAGCAAGAAGTGCGAGCGGACGCATCCGTGACCAGAAAGCCCAGGCCTATGTTGCACAAATCTGTTAAAGCAGCCGACGAAGCGGTTGCTGAATTCCAAGTGACCTGTCGCCATCTGCATTGCATGCAAATGTTGAACACGAAGCCAGATGGAGCTTCGTAAGCCGTAAGCCATACCCGCGCGGCGGCCGCACGTCATGACTTGCATGCAAATGGCTGACGCTTCAGACCCGAATAGAACTAGGGCCAGCTGATTTTGGCGCTTTCACGAAGTTACAGTCGACTCACTTCCCGGGCGGCTCGGGTGGCCCAAGCAGCTTTGTGAGTCATGTGGTCACAGCATGTAATCGTTTCATGAAGGCTTCTGGGAACTCTTTGCGAAGACGCTGTTAGTCTGTGACCACACCATTGATGAAGTGATTTGAGGCAGAGAGAAGACGTGAGGAGCTCCTGTGCCCAGTCTTATGCATGCGCGCGGCTGCAAAAAATCTTACTCTCAAACCCATGATCATCCATGAACAATTATCTAACCCCAGTGTCCATGAGTCCTTTCCCCTTTTCTATACCTTGTGATTCTCCATTCTTGGCTTAAGCAGAATGTTTGACAGCAGAATGGCAGAGTGACCCATGAATTTCAGTGCCAAACACCTCCCCGAGCCAAGTCGACATACCGACTCTTATATAAGATGATGGCAAAGGACTTTGAGTATGGATTATGTAGGGATCCTCTATAGGGTTTATGTTGGGACTCTGTAGGCTTTGGGGGGTTATTTGCCCCGGTGAAGGAGAATCAAATCGGAAAGATACATGAGGAAGTATAGGGCTTAAGATGACAGTTTATAGGGGCTTAGGGCTCAAGCCCCATCCAGATGAAGTTTTTGTCCATAGGTGCGGGTGCTGGCGGAGGCGGCGGCGGCTTGCAGTTCGATCCCGCAGCTGCAAGCCCAGAACTTCAGTTTCACCTTTTGCTTTTGGGCGGATATCAGGGATACATAGGGCTTTCATAGGGATGTATAGGGGTCATATATAGCGTGTAGGGCTTAGAGGTTTCCAGGAGCCAAGGGGTACCTTTTTAGGGTTCCCCATAAAAAAGATTCTCGTATTTGGGGGTCTATATTGGGATCCCCTTATTTTGGGAAAGCTACCATGTAATCCCGATATATAACCCTGTATGTAGTAGCTTCCATTTCATTTTCCATTTGGCCTGCCACTTGATTCTCCACAGTTGGATAATATTCTGCAGAACAAATATAAACTTTATGAAGCTGAGACCATGGTTACAGCTGATAGGGCTCAGCTTGTAGCTTACCGGTGGCCAGTCGGGAGTAAGGGAGCATATTATAAAGGGACTATGTAGGGATTATATGGGGATTATGTAGGGATTATATTCCCTCATTCCCTAGTAATCATCCGTAAGTTTCGGGTTGCCAGAATGTTCGGGATAAATTCAGTGAGCTAAACTTTACACCCAAACACTAAGCCCTAAACCCTAAAGCCTCAACCCATCTAAACCCTAATCCCTAAACCCTAAACCCCTAAACCCTAAACCCAAGATCCTGGCTCATGCCACCTCAGCTCAAAGGCTCTTACAGCCGCGGCAGTGAGAAATCCAAAGATTAAGGCAGGATGGGCACTTGAGTAGCATTTTATTTGCGGATACTATGGTACCCAGTAGGGTTTAGGGGTTTAGGGGTTTAGGGTTTAGGGTTGAGTAGTATTTTATTTGGGGATACTGTAGGGCTATATTGGGGATATATGGGGATGTTGGAAAAGAAAATGGAAACTATAGGGATTATAGGGTTATATTGTATTTTATTTGGTGTATTATGGTACCCAACTATAGGGCTTATAGGGATTATAGAGGGATTATAGGGAATGTATTTGGGTATGAATTGGGATAGGGTTTTAGGGATTAGGGGTTTAAGGTTTAGGGTTTAGTAGTATTTTATTTGGGGATATACACCAATAATGGAGAATCAAATGGAAAAGAAAATGGAAATGAAATGGAAACTGGTGTTATATAGGGGTTATATTGGGGATATTGTTTTTTTTTTATTTGGGGATACTATGGTACCCAATATAGAGTAAGATTATATCCTCCTGTTGGGGTATAGTATTTCATATAAGGAAGAAAATCTTACTAGGTTTAACCACCAAAAAAAGGCTACCCACTTGTTTGTGCTGGTAGAGCCAGGTGTCACGGCTAGAAGACGGCTGTGAATGAAGGGTCCAGCTTCCACGTGTATATGACATTCTTGCCCCTGAGTGGAGGGTCTACTTGACTGCTGAGAGCTGTCCATGCAGATTGCTGCATGCTGCATCGAATCTCACGAACCCCATCCCCACAACAGCTCCCTAAACCCTAAGCCCCAAACCCTAAACCCTAAATCAGCACAACAGCTCCCTAAACCCTAAACTCTAAAGCCTTTTCCAGTGCAGGAATACATGCAGGACCAGGAGCTGATGCAAAAGGCTCTGTAAGGGCTGCTGGGGGGTGCAGGTGGTTTAGGGTTTACGGGTTTAGGGTTTAGGGTGGTTAGCTTGCCTCGCGACTTATCTCCATTTAATGGAGAATCAAATGGAAAGTAAAATGCAAAACGAAATGGAAACTGGTGTAATAGGTTTAGTTGGGGCCTCAATATTGGGGTTAATTATAGCATATATATATATACATATCCCTATACGTTAGTTGCGAAGCGCCAAGGCTCCTTGGGGCAAGACGGACTGTGTGGCTCATGAAAAGCGCACATAACTACATCACTTGAGCTAAAGTCTAAACTCCTGAAAGGGGGTTATATAAGGGAGTATCTAGGGGACTGCTACGGGGGTTATTCAGGGGGATGAGTACAGACTATAGCTCACTTGAGCTATCTAGATCTGCTTCAGTCTCTCATGCGCAGCGGTGTGTTTGCCAGAGAATGGTTAAGGCAGTACATCGAATCGGCTTGGGGATCGGACACAGGTGCAGATGCTTGCCGCTCTCCCTGGGAACATGCAGCAACAGATGATCATGCAGATGATGAATCAGGACAGGCCCTAGCCATAAGTAAAAAGATGCCGCCATTAGTACATTACTACATTATTACAATTTCTAGTAACTCTAATTACTGTTTTCTTTACTATTAGTATTGCCATTACTATTACCATGTCGAATGTGATCTCGCCCGGAGGGATGGTGAGAGCAGTCTGAGAAGCATGTGAGCTAGTGTCCAAACTCCTCAAAGAGGGTTATGTAGGGAATTAGGGGAGTGTTATAGGGGTTCCTAAGCGGGATACTAGGAGCCAAGACTAGCTGATGTATGAATGGTTTTGCGAGGGACTGCATTTGTTGCTGCCTATTCAGGTTTTGCAGCCAGTTGGAACATATGAGAGCAAGTCTAGGGGCTGAGAGCATGGCCATGTGCCAGGACAGAAGCTTTTTATATTTTTGCTATTACTATTACAGAAATGTTGCTACTACTTTATCAGTATTACTGCTATTGTTAATCGTCATGCCAGGACAAAAGAGTTCTAGAGCTCTTCATGGCCATGCAGGGCATCGACGTCAGCACCATGAGTTCCACCGACAGAGCTTGTTGTGTGATGCCATGCCTTGGTCAGGTAACTAGACCCTCCCCTCTACCCTCTATTTGAGTAGTATTTTATTTGGGGATACCATGGTACCCATTATAGGGTAAGATTCTATCCTCCTTTTGGGGTATAGTATTTTATATAAGGAATATAATCTTACTGGGATTAACCACCAAAAAAAACGCTACTCATTTGGACCTTAGTACCCACTATTAGGGGCCCTATATCCCCAATCAGGGGTACTAGGAGGGTCCTGGTGAAAAGGCCCTAAACCCTAATCCCTTTCATTCCCAGCTAAGCAAAGGTAAGTTAAAAACCAGTGCATTCCCTATATAATTAACCCTATATACCCTTATAGAACCCTATAACCCCCTTTAAAGGTACCCCCAATTTTAGGAAACCCTAAACCCCTATAATACCCAATATATAAACCCAGTTTCCATGTCATTTTCCATTTTCTTTTCCATTTGATTCTCCATTATAGTAGGTACCCCTAATTTTGGGAAACCCTAAACCCCAATTCACTCTCAGCCGCCAGGTGGTGAGGACTTTGCGGGGCCTGAGCCCAGTCCTTGGCCATCATGGGCTGGGTTTAGGGTTTAGGGTTTAGGGTTTAGGGTGCAGTTACACTCAAAGCATGACAGTTATCCTGTTTACTGCGAAGCAGGTGACCAGTTCTCATTCTGATGAAAGGTACCCCCAAGAGTGTTATGAAGATACTGCGACTGCCAGAGTCATTGTTGCGGGCAGTTGCACGGTGAGATGAGTCGTGTTGCTTGTCTCGATGCATATGTATGTGTGATGATTCAACTTTGCCGCTTGCACCCCCGGCGTGGACAGCTCAGCTTGTAACAGTCATGGGAACACTCTCCTTCAACTCTATTCTGTAGGGCGCTTGCCATCCTTCATCGGAGCGATGCAGCATGAAGTATCAGACTGTTTGAGATCTTGACGGATTCCGACTTCCAAATCTAGCAATTTGATAGTTCCCGTCCAGGCTGTCAGGGCGTATGGATCTACAGGTCCGTTTTGGGAAGCCATGTTAAGTACTTCAGGGCTCACAGGGCTTCAGTATAGGCCTCATCTAATCCCTAATCCCTTAAACCCTAAACCCCTAAACCCTAAGCCCCTTCACCCTTGAACCCTGAACCTTAAACTGTCTGAGGCCTACTCCAGCTCCCAAGAAGAAGGAAGAGCCGAAAAAGGAAGAGGCTCCTCCAGAGGCAGGAATGCAAAGTCAGGTTTAGGGTTTAGAGGTTTAGGGTTTAGAGGTGTAGGGTTTAGAGGTTTAGAGATTTAGGGTTTAGAGTTTAGAGGTTTTGGATTTTGGGTTTAGAGGTTTAGAGGTTTAGGATTTGGGGTTTGGGGTTTAGGGTTTAGAGGTTCAGGGCTTAGGGTTTCGGGCAGAGGGGTCCCGGCGGGGTATTCTGGAGGACTATGTAGGGGCGACTATGGATATCCCACAATTTAAGCACAACTAAAATGATGGGAGTGCCAATTCCCACGAGCACGGTGGGCATGGACGAAATCAAAAGAAGGGAGCAAACAAGCTACCCTTGACCTGAAAGTGGCTTCCATTTTCTTATCCGTTCCTCCACCCACTTTGCATCAAGAGAGTGAGGCATGTTGGTCATTTGGTGATGGATTGAGCAGAACTAGTGGAAGGGTCTCTTTGTTTTTAAGGCAGGCAGAGCTGCTAAAGGCAAAGCAGACAGATTTAGCATGTTCCGCAGCTAAAGCTGCCTGCTACTTGGAGGGATAGTGCTCTTATAGGCTAGGTAGGGCAAAACCCAAGGCATAGATCATCTCTTTGAGGCTCTGGTAACTTATTGATGGTTTCCCAACAATAGGATTTAAAAACAAAAAATGTGTTTTTTTGGGGGGGTGGGGGTGGTGTCCCGGTAATCAGGATTCTCATAGTTGATGGTCTACATTAGCGTCCCCGTATTTAGCTATTTGTGAGGTGGGTAGCACTGCTATTTCTTGAAATGCCTACCTAGCTTACAGCCCAATTCTTAGGTCCAAGAGTTGCCCTGGGTTTGCTTGGGAGATTTTGGGATAGGGTTTCGGGTTTAGGGTTTAGGGTGGTTAAAGGCAAAAATGGAGAATCAAATGGAAAAGAACATGGAACATGAAATGGAGATTGGGGGTACACAGTGGGTTCTGCCCGGATATGACTGCAATTGCAAAGTACCGTTCCAAGCAGGAGTATCTTAACATCGGGTATCTGCATGCAAGGCCTCAGCCCTAAACCCTTAAACCCTATATAGTGAGCAATTCCCGGACATTCCTTCAAGTCCCCAGAGGCACCTGATTTTGACACATCCCCTAGCCTCAAGCACCAATCTTAGGCTCTAAAAACTACAAGTACCTTCCAAATCTTAGACCAAAGATCCAGGCCCCACGGTGCTTGTAGGTCAAGGATTATTTCGAGCCCAGCTGTATTTGTGGTCACAACCCAATTGCAAGTATATTAGGAATCGGTAGGTTGTGAATAGCCTTGGACCTCCAAGCAAGTATGGCCAAGGATAACAGGACGCCTGAGCAGAAAGAGGCGGATGACTGGAAGTCCAAAGGCGCTGGCCTGCTTGCGGGGAGTGGGATGAGGAGGTCCAGAGAGGTTCTACGCAGAGTTTGTACGGATTCTGAAAGATTTTGCAGGATTTTAGAGGGTCAAATGGGAAGGGCAGGAACTCTGTAGAATGTGTAAGGGTTCTATGGGCTTTGTAAAGGTCCTGGCAGATGTGCTTTGCGATTCTACGGACGAGATCGCTGCGTCGTCTTACCATAAGAATATGCGCTTAAATTGCATCTGGCTTTATAGTCTTCCTGGATACACGTTCTGCCTAGGAACTGCCCGGTTGCTTTGTGCTCCGCAGCCGCCACAAGCCATGCGTGAGGCAACGAGCTGTACAAGAAGAAGCAGTTCAAGGAAGCCTTGGAGATGTACGACAAGGTCGGCTGGGCGTATGTTGGTGGCTGCTAGTCCCACTGAGGCTTAGTTAGGAATACGGGAACATAATTCCCATATAATCCCTGTATAGTAGTGTATTAATGTATACTATATAGTATATTCATGTTTCTTCCCTTATTCCCTACGAAACCCCAGTAAGTAATTGCCGCGGCTTGAGTCCCAGCAGTCTGTAGCAGGCCATAGCCGTCGTGCCAGACGACATCACCTACCACAACAACAGGACCCTCAGCGGAAACAGTTGACATGCAGGGTTGCCGCAGGGGTACTTGGAGGGTTAAGGGGACTTAATAAGTTGGTTAATAATGGGTTATGAGTAAGGTTACTATATACGGATTATAGGCTAGGGGCTATTAACTTACTTACTAAGTCCCCCTGACCCTCCAAGTAGGTGCATCTGGTACTCGCAAGATCTAGAGGCTGCTTAGACTGCCGGTCCAGGAACTCACCCTAGGGTTTAGGGTTTAGGGGTTTTGGGTTTAGGGTTTAGAGAAACCCTCAACAGCGCCTGATGAATCAATCAAGGAATGCCGTCCTCATTGAGATGGGACCTGAGCCAGGGGCCTCAATGGTTCAAGGGTCTTGCAGGCTTTGATGTGGTGGTTTTCCAACATTATGGGTAACTTTTTTTTGGCGTCGCAATAACAAGTGGGGTATTGTCCCCCTATCTAGGGAAACTATCATGTCATGTGATATTCCATTTGATTTTCCGCTCTTGCTTTAGTATTAAAGTATGTCATTGGGAGTTGTTACTATCATATTGAATGGGATTACATAGGGACTACTTGTGGCTTCCAGGCGTGGCTTTAAGAGAGGTTGCCTTTGGGCAACCGTTTGCCCACTGGGGAGGGGCTTTAAGGTTCAGAAGAGTTTCAGGGTTTATTAGGTTTATGGGGGTTACAAGGTTCATAGGGGTTTGTAGGCTTTAGAGTGCTTGGGTCGGCAGAGTAATGAAGTATGCATCGCACAAGCTCGCATCAGGCATTACGACGAGGTCGTCAAGAATTGCAAAGATCTCATCGAGAGGAGATATGAGATCAATAGGCCCGGGGCTGCGCGGTCAAGGAGCATGCATGAGCTGAGCTATAGTCTAAACTCCGTTTAGCGGAGTATTATACGGGTTTTTAAACGGGGATACTAGGAGCTTAGACTATAGCTCATATGAGAAGTAACATCGCCCTAAACCCAAACCCTAAACTCTAATCACTAAACCCTAATCCCTAAACCTTAATCCCCAAACCCTAATCCCTAAACCCTAATCCCTAAACCCTGTAATCCCTAAATGTTTGTGCAGTGCGAACCCTGGCGGCGCTTCCTTCGAGAAGGTAGCCAAGGCTGGGTTCGTCTTTGCTGCAATAATAGTAATACTAACGGTAGTAATAGTAATGATAGTAATAATAATGATACTAGTAGTAATACTAATACTAGTAGTAATAACTAGTAGTAATAACAATAGTAATAATAATAGTAATAATAGTAATAGTAGAAATAGTAGTAATGATATCAACAATAGTAATAATAGTGCGACTGCTCTCTTGGGACGGATTTTCTGGTTCTACTAGAACAAGGCAAAATAAATGGCTCAACCCAGTTGCCATTGAATTGTCCATTCCATTTTCCGCTTGATTCTCCATTGTAGGGGTATATCATATTCCAAAACCCTCAACACCCTACACCCTAAACCCCTAAACCCCAAGCCCTAAACCCTCAAACCAATATACTGATTGTTCAAGGCTACCTCCATCTCCCACGTGTGCGTTGACACCAGCTGATGCTGTGAGGTGTTCCAAAGAATGGCTTCCGTGTACGAGAAGCAGCTCAAGTGCCGCCGCAAATCTGGGTTGCTGTTAAGGAA